ACAGCCGCTCGTTGTGGTAGTCCACGGCCAGGCCTGAGGGGCACACACTCCCAGTGAGGTACAGGCCCCTGGCCCACCCCGAGCCCCTCTGGACCACGCGACCAGCAGAGCAGCCCCCCAGCTGCCCCTACACACTCCTGCCACGGGGCTCAGAGCTCCCAGGCTCAGCCTCCCCAACACGAGTGGGTTGTGTGTCCCTCCTGCCAAGGCTTTTGCCAGCCCTCGTGCCCCTCCTGGCACCCGTCTTTGTTCACCTGTTGGCCACTGGATGTTGTCCTGCACCAGGGTCTCACGCAGTGTCCCATCCATAGCAGCAGTCTCGATCTTGGGGTGGTTGCCCCAGTCTGACCAGTACATAGTCCTGCAAAAGACACGGGCAGGTCATTCCCAGCAGGTGAGCAAGAACGGGAAGAGCAGGACAGTCCAATGCCCCATCAGCAGAGAAACCCTTCCACGTTCTCCCCACGGCGTCCTGGAGTCACTGACATGACCCCAGTGGGCCGACTGACTCCACGGCACAGCAACTGGAGCTGACACGGACAGTGACGCTGGGGCACAGGGAGCTTCCACCACGGACGGGCTTGTTGGTGAGAGAAGCCAGGGTGAGGGCTGGGCAGAGGGGAGGCAGAAAGGGCTCCAGTCTCTCACCCCCTAAGCGGGTCCACTACGATGGCATGGGGCTCATCGATCATGCCCGAGATCAGCGTCTTGCGATTCTCGCCTTTCATCTGTGCCACCTCAATGACATCCCGCCCAGAGTCTGTCCAGTAGATGTTCCCAGCAACCCAGTCGATGGCAATTCCCCGCGGCATCTTCAGCCCCGAGATCTGTGAAGGGCAGAGAGTGGGGAGAGGTGAGGGCACAGGACGGCGGCAGCCCGGCCTCGGTGCCTCCCGCTGCGCCCGACAGCGCTCACGTTCAGGTGGGTGACGCCGCCGTCAATCTGGCGCCGGTTGCGGTTGGAGGCGTTGGAGGCAGCGGAAGAGGCAGGCAGCTCCCGGTACGAGATCCTGCCAGTGTGCCAGTTGGTCCAGTAGATCTTGTTGCCCTTGACGTAGATGTCCATGGCGTCGATGCGCACGTTCTCATCGCCCTGGAAGGCTGGCTCGTAGGCTGAGTTGGGGTTGAAGGGGTACATGCTCCGGATCTTGTTGTCGTCCGCGATGTAGAGGATTTGGTGCTCGGAGCCTGCAGAGGAGGAGCTGTTGGCATGGGCTGGGTCGGGAGCAGGGAGTCAGCCCAGCTCCACGGTGGGGCATGGGATGAGGTCGCTGGGAGCTTGGCACTCCCCTGGGGCTTGCTCTGCCAGGGAAGGACAGACTGACAGCACCATCAGAGCCCACACCCGCCCT